ACACTCTCAGAATTACACAAAGACACACACACATGTACTCGTGCACATGCAGGCACACACACAAAGACACACACAGGATGGGGAACAGAGCAGGAGACGATCAATGTGGTGAGTAAACAAACACACCTATACACACACACACACACACAGGCTGAAAGAGAGCAGGAGACCTCGACACAAGGAGGAGAGCAAACCCACACACACACAAACACACTCTCTCAAACACACACACACACACACACACGCTCTGATCTCCGAGAAACACTGAAGGAGAAACTCTGAGCAGTTCAGAGCTTCAGAGTGAAGATGAGGAGGATAAACACCATGACAGGCTTTCATTCAGCTTCTCAAAGCAGGAGTCACTCATGATAATGATTATGAATAAATTAATGACCAATAACGTGACATAATATGCAAAACAGATGCAAATCCTCAGGGTCTGACCATTTCTCAGGATTTCTGAAGACAAATATATTCAGATTATGTATACATAAAAGATTTGTGATATGCAAATTTAGGAATATAGAGTTTGTCCTCATCAGAGCTCTCAGCGCATCTGTGTGTGTGAGTGTGTGTGTGTAAGTGTGTGTGTGTGTGTGTGTGTTTTTGTCCTTCTGTGTTGTGGTGAATCAGCAGATGAGTTCAGCTGAGGAAACCTCAGTGTGTTTTCTGTCATGATGGATGAGATTGAAATGATGCGACCAGTCAGTCATCATGTGTGTGTGTGTGTGTGTGTGTGTGTGTGTGAGGGTGCACTGGTTTGTGTGGTTTACAGGGACATACATTTGTGTAATGACACACTGCGAAATGCTTTTCCTACTTACAGTTTTAGTCTTGTTTCTAGTCCAAATATCTCAAAATGATTAAATGAAGCAGCATTTTCTGGATAAGTAAACAAAATTCTTCTTGTTTTGAGAAATTAAAATCTAAATTAATTGAGTTTTTCCTTAGAAAAAAGCAAAATAATCTGCCTAAAAACTTCCTTTAAACTTTGTTTCTTCTTTTAAACACAAAAGAAGACATTTCGAAAAATGTTGGAAACGTGTAACCATCCACTTCTGTAGTATTTGTTTTGCCTTCTATGGTTTCCAGCATTCTTCAAACTATCTTCTTTAGTGTTCAACAGGAGAAAGAAACAGTGCATAACCACTTGAGGAAGAGTAAATAGTGAGTAAATATGACATTAAAATGCTTTGGGATGTGGTGGAACGGGAGATTGGCATCATGGATGTGCAGCCGACAAATCTGCAGCAACTGTGTGATGCTATCATGGAGCAAAATCTCTGAGGAATATTTCCAGTAGCTTGCTGAATCTCTGCCATGAAGGATTAAGGCAGATCTGAAGGCAAAACGGTACTAGTAAGGTGTACCTAATAAAGTGGCCGCTGAGTGTATGTTTATTATGTATATGTGATACACACACATATTTAAAAACAGAACTGTTTTAAGGAGAAACTCATGACTTTTATTTTCTGAAAACAAGCTAATATTTATTACTTGTCTAGAAATATTAAGAATATTTAAATATTTGGACTAGAAACAAGACTCAAACTCTGAGTAAGAGAAGCATTACTTTGCAGTGTGTGTGTGTGTGTGTGTGTGTGTGTGTGTGTGTGTGTGTGTACCTTGTGAGATGCCCAGCGCAGCGTACACCCCCACTCTAGTCTGCAGCATCTCCTGTGTTCGGTTGTGCAGCGCGTCGTTCGTCCACTCGCTGAGCCAGAAGTTTGCCCCGATGGCGGCGGCGCTCTGACAGCCGTACAGAAAACAGATGAAGAGCGCCAGCAGAGGCCCGATCGCCTTCACATACTCCCAATACACCTGCAGCTTCACCTGCACACACACACACACATACAAGAATACAATTCTTTTTTTAAATCTTTTTTTGCATGTGTGTGTGTGTGTGTGTGTGTGTGATTGTGTGATTGTGTTTGTGTCTATGCGTGTATATGTGTATATGTGTATGTATGTATGTGCATATATGTATGTGTGTGTTTCTGTTAGTGTGTGCATGTGTGAGTGTGCATCTGTCTGTGTATGCATGTGTATGTGTATTATTGTCTGTGCATGCTTGTGTGATTGTGTGGATGTGTCTGTTTGGCTTATGTGTGTGTGCAATTGTGTATGTGCATATGTGTGTGATTGTGTATGTTCATGTATATGTGTGTTCGTCTGTGCATGCGCATCTGTGTGTGTATATGTGAGTGTGTGTTTGTATTTGTGTGTGAGAGTGTCCATGTGTGATTGTGTGCTAATGTGTGTGTGTGTGTGTGTGTGTGTGTGTCCATTACTCACTCTGCCCGTCTCGGTGGTCTCCGCCTGGATCAGTTTCTCCACCTTCGGCTCCTTCTTCTCGGTCGGTGTTTCCGGATGTTTCCTCTCGCTACAGCGGCGCCGGCGAGACATCTTCTTAGGGTTCTCCACATCATTAGACATGATGCTCATCTGCCTGCATCACACACACACACACACACACACACACACACACACACACACACACACACACACTTTAATGTATTTAATGTAAAATAGCATTCATTATCATATGTATTAATTCTTTAATCAAAAAATGAATCAATTAATAAATTTATTTATTTATTTATTTGTTTATTTATTTATCCTTAAATATAAATATATATATAATATGCAGAATAAATAAAAATATTCATCATAATATTTATTTATTTATTTGTGTATTTCTATGTTTATTAATTCTTACATACAACTCTTTATAATATGCAGAATAAGTGAAATTTTTGTATCATAATATTTATTTATTTATTTATTTATTTATTTATCTATTTATTAATACTTAAATATAAATACATATAATATGCAGAAGAAGTGAAATTATTCATTATAATATTTATTTATTTGTTTATTTGTGTGACTTGTGCTGTAATGCACAGACAGTAATGGAAAACAGTAATTATAGAGAGTATTAACCATATTATTTATTAAAATACCCATTAATTGTATTTTTTTTTACATCTCACACATTATTTGATTTATTTATTTGTGCATTTAATAATACGTATATATAAATATATATTAAATGCAGAATAAGTGAAAATATTCATCCTATTATTTATTTATTCATTCATTTATTCATCTATGTATTTACTTATTTGTGTTTTTCTTTGTTTGTTTATTTGTGCACTGATTTATTTATATATTTATTAATATGTAATATATAAATATATATTATATGCAGAATAAGTGAAAAAATGTATCATAATATTTATTTATTTATGCACATTTATTTATTCATTCATTCATTCATTTATACATTTATTCATTTATTTATTAACTTATGTATGTTTTTGTTTGTTTATTTGTCTATTTATTAATACTTAAATATAAATATATATAATATGCAGAATACGTGAAAATATTCATCATAATATGTATTTAAGCACATTTATTTATTTATTTATTTGTGTGACTTGTGCTGTAATGCACAAACAGTACTATAAAAACAGTATTTATACAGAGTATTAATCATAATATTTATTTATTTATTATTTATTTTTTAATCTCACAATCTTTAATTAATACTTAAATATAAATATATATTATATGCTGAATCAGTACATTTTGTAGAACTCCATTCATTATAATATTAATTCATTCATTCATTTATTTCTTTTCTTTGTATATTTATTTGATTATTTATTTATTTATTTTATATTTATTAATACGTAAATTTAAATAAATATAAATAAATATAAATATATATATATATATATATATATATATGTATGTGTGTGTATATATATATATATATATATATATATATTATAATATGCAAAATAAGTGAAAATATTCATCATATTTATTTATTTATGTTTTGTTTGTTTATTTACTCATGTATTTATTTGTCTATGTATTTTTATACGTGTATATATATATATATGCAAAATAAGTGAAAATATTCATCATAATATATATATTTTTTATTTATGTTTTGTTTGTTTATTTATTTGTGTATTTATTTGTCTATATATTTATTATTACGTAAATATAAATATATTTTATATAAAATATTCATCATAATATTTATTTATTCATGCACATTTATTTATTTATTTATTTATTTATGTATTTTTTTATTTATGTGACTTGTGCTGTAATGCACAAACACTCATGTAAATACAGAGTATTACTTGTATCATTTAATAAAGTACCAGCAAATTTTATTTTTAACATCTCACACGTGTAAAAATATGAAATATTGTTGAACTGTGTCACTAAATTGATGCTCTATTGCTGTGAGTATCCACAGCTGTGTCCCTTCTATATATTACCGTCCCCAAACTTGCACACTCTTCAGTTATACACTCAAAAGCACATGCTTTTTCTTCACACAAAAAAGAATATAGTATAAGTAGACAAATTGTGACGCAGCATTAGCCATGCATTGGTGGTCAAATAAAGTTAGCGTGAGACTCGGGTGACAGGCATGGCAGCTCTTTTATTTCCTCCTGGGTGTGATATTAAGTGTTTTGTATTAATGCAGTGTTTGCCATGTGTCACTGAATGCAGAACTTCACAATGCCGCAGTGAGAAGACATTAAATATGCAGGAGGAAACTGTACCTCATGAACTGTCTGCGGGCCTCATTCACTACAGGCTCATTATCCACCATATCTGTGTGATTGCTGAGAGCGTCTTCAGGAAACTCCTCTTCTTCCTCATCAAATGACACTACACACAACAACAAATAGACAAGACAAGTCACATATACATGATTCAACATAAATAAATCATGAATATGGTTTTAAACCATATTCTATATAAAATTAACATTTATATTTAGGTATTTAGAAATAGATATAAGAAAATTAAAAAAATACATAAATAAATAAATATTATAATGAATGCAATTTTACAAAATGTAAATTTTAAGCATAAAAATATATTTATAATTAAGTATTAAATAAATAAAAAAATAAAAATAAATAAATACATACATAACTATACAATAAAAATAATTACATAAATAAATAAACAAAAACATAAATAATATTATAACCACTAACATTTTACAAAATGTACTTATTCAGCATTAAATTTATATGTTAGCATAAATAAATAAACCAAATAAATAAATATATAAGCAAATAAATGAATAAATAAATAAATAGACAAAACATAAATAAACGAATATTGTTATAATTAATGCACTAAATATTTATATTTAAATATTAAATAAATAAAAAATACAAATAAAAATAAATACATAAATACACAATAAATAAACAAATATATAAATAAACAAACAAAACATAAATATATAAATAATTTCAAAACGAATAACATTTTACAAAATTTATTTATTCAGCATATAATAAATATTTATATTTCACCATAAATAAATAAACCAATAATTAAATAAGAAAATAAATAGACAAAACATAAATAAATGAATATTATATTAATGAATGAAATTTTAATAAATGTACTTATTCAGCATATATGAAATGTTTATATGTACGTAATAAATAAATTAAACAGTGCAAATAAAAATAAATACATAACTAAACACACAATAAATAAATAATAAAACGAACAACATTTTACAAAATGTACTTACTCAGCATATAATAAATATTTATATTTTAGCATAAATAAGTAAAGTAATAAATAAATAAATACATAAATAAACTAATAAATAAATAAATAGACAAAACATAAATAAATAGACATTATTATAATGAATACAATTGGACTAAATGTACTTATTCAGCATATAATAAATATTTTTATTTAAGTATTACATAAATAAAAAGTACAAATAAAAATAAATACATAATTAAATAAACCAAAATAAATAAATATATAAATAAATAAACAAACAAAAACATAAACTAAATAAATAAGTAATATTAAAGGAATAACATTTTACAAAATTGATTTGTTTTTTTATATTTTAGCATAAATAAATGAATTATTAAATAAATTAACTCATTATTTTTATTTATATAAATAAATAAATATCAACACATAAATGTTACTTAATTATTTTTTCAGGATAAATGAAATATTAATATTAACATAATTAACTATGTTTATGTATGATAAAGAAAAGGTTATGGTATCTATTTGTAGTATAAAACAAGTAGGATTTATTCATGCACTATAAAAAAGCATTCATAATATGTATTTTTTCAGTTTTCTGCATTAAAATACATGAACAAATAATTAATGGTTTCATATATAAACACCTTATATGTATTTGTCAGCATATAATGGTAAATTAAAATGTAATATTTTTAGAAAACAATCATAAATAATAAACAAATTAATTTCAAACTATGTTTTAGTTTTAAATCCCAATAAAATAAACTCAATAAATATAACAGTGGTTTGTTCTGTAGACAATCAACACTGATATTGCTGAAGGGGCGAATAATATTGACCTTAAATTGGGTTAAAAACAATTAAGAACTGCTTTTATTCTAGCCCAAATAAAACAAATAAGACTTTCTCCTGAATTTGTTCTACATGATTTGGGAAATATTTGACAAAGAATCAATATTTCACAGGAAGGTGAATGATTTGGACTTCACTTGTTTATATATTTATGTGTATATCTTGTGTATATATACAGTATTGGCATGTGTATATTTTAGGCATATGTACATATTCGTTCTGCATATTTAAAGCTGATTTCCTTCTTAATTTCTGCCGTTGTACCTGTGAGTTCGTCGTCTTCAATGATGTCTTCGAGAGAGTAGTTTCTCAGGAATTCTGCGAACGCTCCGTTCTGTCTCAGCAGATCCTGATAGGAGCCCATCTCCGACACGCGTCCGTCCACCAGGACCAGGATGTTGTTGACCTGCGGCAGGAAGCTGATGCCGTGAGTTACCAGGATCCGCGTCTGGAAGAGGAAAACAACGTTTCATCCTGAACTAGTCATCCATATCACAGTCCACTGTAGCACACAATCATGCTAGCCAAGAGCTCAACATGCTAGCAACCTGTTAAACTAGCTAGCAACATGCTAGCTTCTGTTGCCATATTGTTTGACATGCAATCAGAATGTCATTTCACGCTAGCTGCATGCTAATTCATGTTAGCACAAAAAGTAATCCAAAAGAGACCCACACGTGTAATAACTGAATAAGGGTTAGCACAAAAGTAATCTAAATGTAATCCAAAAGTAATTCATAAATGTGTAATCTAAGATATTATATAACTGACTACAAATTATATCATGCAGTTTGTAATATGTGACATCAAATAAGGGTTAGCACAAAAGTAATCTAAATGTAATCCAAAAGTAATCCACACATCTGTAATAACTGAATAAGGGTTAGCACAAAAGTAATCTAATGTAATCCAAAAGTAATCCACACGTGTAAAACATAATAAAGGTTAGCACAAAAGTAATCTAAATGTAATCCAAAAGTAATTCACACATCTGTAATAACTGAATAAGGGTTAGCACAAAAGTAATCTAAATGTAATCCAAAAGTAATCCACACATCTGTAATAACTGAATAAGAGTTAGCACAAAAGTAATCTAAATGTAATCCAAAAGTAATCCACACATCTGTAATAACTGAATAAGGGTTAGCACAAAAGTAATCTAAATGTAATCCAAAAGTAATCCACACATCTGTAATAACTGAATAAGGGTTAGCACAAAAGTAATCTAAATGTAATCCAAAAGTAATCCACACATCTGTAATAACTGAATAAGGGTTAGCACAAAAGTAATCTAAATGTATCCAAAAGTAATCCACACATCTGTAATAACTGAATAAGAGTTAGCACAAAAGTAATCTACAAATAATCCAAAAGTAATCCAAATATTTAATAACTGAATAAGGATTAGCACAAATTAAATCTAAATGCAATCCAAAAGTATTCCACACATCTGTAATAACTGAATAAGGGTTAGCACAAAAGTAATCTAAATGTAATCCAAAAGTAATCCACACATCTGTAATAACTGAATAAGGGTTAGCACAAAAGTAATCTAAATGTATCCAAAAGTAATCCACACATCTGTAATAACTGAATAAGAGTTAGCACAAAAGTAATCTACAAATAATCCAAAAGTAATCCAAACATGTAATAACTGAATAAGGATTAGCACAAATTAAATCTAAATGCAATCCAAAAGTAATCCAAAGGTTTAATAGCAGAATAAGGGTTAGCAAAAAAGTAATCTAAATGTAATCCAAAAGTAATCCATAAATATGTAAACCAAGATATTATATAACTGATTACAAATGCTCTCATATCATTTGTCATCAGTAACCGATTGCATTAACTGAAGTTCTTTGGTTTCTTCTGACCACTGTTATGATGTAAATAGTAACAGTAATAGTAATGTAAACAGTAAGGGTAATAGTGATGTAAACAGAGTAAGTGCTGTAAAGACCTTTCCCTTGAGCGCTCCTTCAGGACCGATGACATGATCAAAGATGTGTTTCGCCACATGAGCGTCGACAGCAGACAGAGGATCATCCAGCAGATACACGTCTGCTTCACTGTACAGAGCTCTGGCCAAACTCACACGCTGACGCTGACCACCAGACAGATTAATGCCCTGCACACACACACACACGCACACACACAAACGCACAAGTTAATACATAAAGCATGATAGTAAAAAAACAAATCATGCATATTCATATATAAAAATACAAAATACGTCTACATAAATTATGCATTTTGAGCATATAATAGTAAAAGTTATATTATTGTTTTATTATATAAAATATTTATGCATAATATGAAGAGTTTTCAGCATACAATAAGTTCAAATTTAAATGATTTATAAACAAAGCATTGCAATACTGTTTTCAGCGATGAATAAATAATTACAGAAATAAACAGTATTGTAAAAGCAGGTTGTTTAAATATTTATATGAGTTATTTAAATATGCACATTAAAAAATGTTTTTTTCTGTATTACAATAAATCAATATTATGAAAGAGAGAGAGAGAGAGAGAGAGAGAGAGAGAGAGAGGTTGTTCATGTATATCTATATTTGTTTATTTTCTTTTATTTAGATCTTTCCATTGTTATATTTCTTCACATATGCCATGCTTTGTTTTTTTTTACAGCCAATAAAGCAATTTTGAAAGTGCATTATATATATATATATATATATTAAATATAAAAATGCATAACTGCATGCATAAATAAATCAATCAATTAATTGATTAATAAATAAATATATTTAATAATATTTATATTTGATAAAGCCAAAGGGAAATAAATGAATAGATAGGAGAGAGAGAAAGGGTGTTTATGTATATTTATATTTGCTTCTATTCCTTTATTTTGATCTTTCTATTGTTATATTTCTTCACATATTTTAAGCTTTGGCAATATTATATTTTTACAGCCAATAAAGCTATTTTGAAAATTCACAACTGAATAAATAATTGTATGAATAAATAAATAAACAAATAATAAATAAATAAATATTAAATGCATAAATGATTAAGTAATTGCATGCATAAATAAATTTTAAAAATAGATATAATGAATAAATAAATAATTGCATGCATGCATAAATAAAAAATAATTGCATAAATAAATAATTGCATCCTGGCACATATAAAAATTGCATAATTGCATAAATATTGCAAGCATCCATAAATAAATAAATATTTGCATAAAATATATATATAATTGCATAAATAAATGAATAAATAAATAAATTATTGCATAAATAAATGAATGAATAAATAATTGCATGAATAGATAAATGCATAAATATATAAATAATTGCATAAATAATTAAATAAATAAATAAATAAACAAGCAAATTATTGAAAAAAATAAATAAGTAATGAAGAGAGAAAAGTGGTTCATTCCACTGTGGCGACCCCTGATTAATAAAAGGACTAAGCCAAAGAGAAAATTAATAATGTATAAAGAATAAAATGCATAACTAAATAAATAAATAAATAATTGCATACATAAATAAAAAAATGCATAAATAAATAAATAATTGCATACATGAATAAATAAATAAATAAGTAAATAATTGCATAAATAATATTATAAATAAATATTACTTAAATAAATAAATAATTGCACAAATAAATAAATAAATAAATAAATAAATAAATAAATAAATAAATAAATAAATAAATAAATAAATAAATAAATAAATAAAGGAGACAGAGAAACAGTTCATTCAGTGGCGAGCTTGTTTATGTAAATTTATATTTGTTTCTAGAGAGCGTCTTCACCTTCTCCCCGATCTCAGTCAGGTCTCCTCCAGGAAGCACTTCCAGGTCAGGGGTTAGGGCGCAGGCCTCAAGCACGCAGCGGTATTTCTGCTCCACATACGGCCGGCCGAACAGTATGTTGTCTCTCAGTGTGGCGTTCTGGATCCAGGCCTGCTGAGGAACATAAGCCACAGAGCCCTGCGGAGGACACAAACTCGCTTCAGAAACTCCAGCATTCACTGAACACTCACTACACCACCCTAATCACTAGACATTCAAGAGTTCTCCTAGACAACAGTGAAGGATTTAGTTAAGCGTTTTCTTATAAAAGCGGTTCACAAAACTGCTGAGAATACTGAACATTTACTCAGGATTATAGAGAAAGGGATAGTTTTTATGGAGTGAAATTTGTGTCAAAATTTCACAAACAAATCCAGCATTCTGCACAAATAAAAGTCAGTTTGAGCAAAACCAAGTGGTGTTTCACTCATTTAGTAGCTACTTTTAGCACTAGAACACTTTAAAGCAGTCCTAAATTCAGGACTGACACCCAAGATCCTCTCCTAAATCTGTGCATTAGAAGCGGTGTTTGGCCTTGAGATGTTTTGTGAGTGCAGTCCTGATCCTCGGTAGATATAAAGACATATGTTGCATTGAAATGTTTGAGCATATTTGGTGTCTTTGAGGTGTAGTTGTAGATGATGAACTTCATTTGACTCGATTTTTGTAAGAAATCAGTGTGTCAATATATATATAATTTCATGCCATTGCTAAGTGGAGTTCATTTGAACTCAAAACAATTTAAATATGCAGTTCTTACTAAGAGTTTCTGTCTTGTTTCTAGTCTAAATATCTAAAAACTCTTCAATCAAGAAGCATTTTCTAGACAAGCACAACATATTGTCATATTTTCAGTAATAATGAGTCATAATTAAGTGAGTTTTTCCTTGAAACAAGCTTAATAATCTGCCCATGAGGGAAGAAAATAATCTTATGTCAAAGTAAAAGCTTGATTATGTTGTTTACCCCACTGGCAGATCATTTAGCTCGTTTCAAGGAAAAACTCACTTCATTTTGTCATAATAAACAAAGCAATATCTTACACTTCTCTACGAAATGCTTCTTGATTTAAGCTTTTATAGATATTTAGACTAGAAACAAGTCAAAAGCTCTACATAAGTTGTGTGCAGTGATAATAAATGTTTTTTAAATGCATGAAGAGTGCAGATGCTGACCCGTATGGAGATCTGCCCATCCAGCTTCTCCATCTCCCCCAGCAGAGCAGATATCAGGGAGGTTTTCCCACAGCCCACATGACCAACCACAGCCAGCAGAGAGCCCTGCGGCACCAGCACGTTAATACTGCACAGAAAACACACACACACACACACACACACACACTTAAAACGGTCGGAACACAACAACACTGCAGAAAAACACATCTCCAGCGGTCTCATTTATTAAATCTGCATACACTGTAAAAAATATCCATAAACATTCAGTATTTTTATGATTCAGGTTTTTATTTAGTTTTTTTCATTGTTTATTTCTGCTTCTGGATGTAATCACGGGATTTTGATCTTTCTTCCAACAACCTTTAACCTTGGAAAATTGTAAAAAGTGACTTTTATGAACATGTGTAATAGTTTGCAGTGCTATACTGTCTGGGTTGGTGTTGTATATCATGCTACAGAATCCTTGTAATAAACTCAACCCAAGCTCATTATTGATACGTACCCCTGTATACATATCTGTAGAGCGCCAAATACATCCCAGGAGCTACATTTTTGCAGTTTTAGTTTTTGCGAATCCACCAGAGGGCGCTGTGTACGCTTTTTCAGATCTCAAATTTCTCTGCGAGTGCCATTTGCGCCTGCTGTTCTCACATAAATCCACCAGAGGCCGCTGTCCACTGACTGACTGACTGACTAACTGACTGAAAGACTCACTCTCCTTCCCTAAACCCAACCGATAGTGCTTTCAAAAGCAGTCCAGAAAAAGAAAAGCTCTTACCACGTTTTCAGATTTTACCACGCTCTCACGCTGTTATCTACTTGCTTATTTTATTTTCTGGCTTCTATTTTTGTCTTACCCACTTTATAGTACCGTTCTTCGCCAGACTCAAACCCCGTCACCCTGCGTCTCAAGTCTGCCGACGTACATGGCGAGCTACTGGGCAAACAGCAGTAAAGCCGTCCACACAGAGGTAAGCGGTCAGCTGCTAGCGTGAAAAGGAACGGCGTCATAGCACCCCGTAGCGTTCGTTTTGAAGTCGAATTGCAGCCATACGTACTTCTGGCTACATAATTCACAATCTCCAGAAACATATACGGGGCTACGCTTTCAGAAAGAGCCTGTGGTAAATAAACTCCAGCACATTTTATGTTATTTTACAGACTTATTTCTCTAGATATCATGTCTTATATTATTTAAAACTATTAAATGTCAATAAAAGTCTCTTTGTTAAACTGTAGAGTTCAACTTAAAGCATCAAAAGTCGACAGAGCAGAGATACACATCCCATAATGCAATTCACAACCGGAAATAAACACAAAACACACAGATACGGCATACTATTTACACACTACAAGCCTTCATAAAAGTGAACGCACAACGTTTCTTCATTTATTTACGAACTAATATGGCTCATTTGATGATTTAAAGTGGTTTAATTACGTAAATATTTAAGTGAACATGGCGTTTACGTACAGCTGCGCACATTCTCTCATCAAGTTTGCTTTTAGAGATCATAAAGTGTGCATAGGACACATTTGCAGCCCTGTTTTGCGCATACGGCATGTTTATTAATGCGAGCCCTGATGTTTCCAGCTCATCCTTTAAACACTCTTACACCGTCCCCTAACAACACGCCACATGTACAGCTATCCTTCCCATGTTTAAAGCAGATTGTGTCCTGAATATTTCCAATGGTGAGGGGCAAAAAAATCTAAAAATGCTTTCTATTTCCGTGATGTCGCAGCAAAACAACAGCATAAACTACTATGACAATGATCACCCTCAGGTACTGATTATGTGCGTTATTCAGAGTTAAATGCTGCCAATGAGAACTTTTACGTGACATTTATTGGCTGGAAGCTGCAGATAGTTCACCTCAGATCTAGAAAATAACATAACTTGAGAATAAGACATGCAAATGATGACTGATATATGACAATTATTCAGACTTTTATCACATGTATAAACCACACGCATGAGAAAGTCAGTATGACACGAAAATAATAATATAAGCCTTAAAATGCATATCACATTGTTATTAGATATGGAAAGAGTAAATGACCTTATGCATGTCACTATAATGCAAATGATGTGTGTTTCCGCTCTAGAATGCAGCCCATTCTGACACATTGCCTTTGTGTCTCTGTTATCAGTGCATTTGCATGGGAAGATATCTGATGCATCAAATTACTTACTATATACAGATGAGGTCAGAATTATTAGCTCGCCTTTGGATTTGTTCTCTACTTTAAATATTTCCCAAATGATGTTGAACAGATTCAGGAATTTTTCACAGTGTGTCTGATAATATTTTTCCTTCTGGAGAAAGTCTTATTTGGTTTATTTCAGCAAGAATAAAAGCAGCTTTATACATACATACACGTGTGTACAACCCGTCAAACTTTTGCAAACTAGTATATTAAAGTCTCTTCTGCTCACTGAGACTACATTTATTTGCTGTTTTGATGCTCACTAGTAAGTATTCTTATTACTATAAATGAATTTTGTTCTACTTTATTATTATTTTATTATGTACTTTTTTATTAAACACAATGAATTATTTTTTTTGGAAAAGGCAAATAAATTGTGCTTTAGAGCATTCGCATAAATATGATAATAATCATGTTTCTTAATCATTAAATCATCATATCATAGTGATTTCTGAAGGATCGTGTGAGTCTTTTAAAGTCACATAAAGACTTTTCATTACAACTTGATGAAGTAATGAAGAAAAATCTGTATTTTAGTTTGTATTTTGTACTTTACCGCATACATTTATACATAAATATGATTCATTCACATGCCACAGCGGAATGAACCACCAACTATTCCAGCATACGTTTTGCACAGCGGATGCCTTTTCAGCCGCAACCCAGTACTGGGGAAAATCAGAGTCAAAAGACAGTGTTTGCAGTCTTACTTGTCCAGAATGACTTGATCACGTTTGGCCCATGAGAATTTCCCATTGACGACAGACACAGCGTATTCTGCAGACAGAGAGAAAACACACACGAGTTTGCAGAGCACAGAGGAAGTTTGCAGAAGCACAGATTTCACAATCATTCAGAAACAGAAACTCCCACACTGCCTTCAATTTCTCAGTTGAATCAAATGAACTTTTCTTAAAGTGTGACCGTATATATTAAATAACAACAGGCAAAGACAATCAGAATTATCACAGAGGTTTTCAGTCATTCATGATGTTTTAAAGTCTACACTACTTAACAGAAGTCTTGTCTGCTAAACTTGACTTCTAGTTGATGGTTTGGTGTCAGAAGTGTCTCTATGAAAGGTGAAGGCCTCTAGATTTTGAGCTCAATAAATCTGATCATGTCTTGATGTTGACTGATTTGATGAGGACAGTGCGCTCTGACTCTGCTCAGACTAAAGTCTCATCACTGAACAGAAATAATGTCCAGTATAGAATATAAAGTCCTGCTGCAGTGGAGACAGAATGAATATTGTGTCTGACTCCATCATGAGCTTGGAGGACTGCATCCATACATCTCTGACATGACTCACATCACTGATTAATAAAGTCATCTGGAATGAAGAAGACTTCCAGAGTTCATCAAGACTCTGTATTCATCTTCAACGCCGCCTCCTTCATCAGCTCAATAATGTTGATGTCTGGTGACTGGGCTGGCCAATCCTTGACCTTCTCTGCTTTCAGGAGCTTTGATGTGGAGGCTGAAGTATGAGGAGCGCTATCCTGCTGGAGAATTGTCCCTCTCCTGTGGTTTGTAATGTAATGGGCAGCACAGATATCTTGATACCTCAGGCTGTTGATGTTGCAGATCTCTCGCCCCATACTGAATGAACCCCAAACCATGACTTCTCCTTCACCAAACTTGACTGATTTTAGTGAGAATCTTGGGTTCCAGCAGGTCTTCTGCAGTATTAGTGATGATTGCGATGCAGATCAGCAGATGATTCAGCAGAGAAGGGTTAGACTTTTGTCAGGTAGTGTAAATGTTTGCACCTTGATGTTATTTTTTTATTTAATTAGCACAGAATATCACCTATGACCTGTTTATTTTAATATAAGCATTACAATATTTGGAAATTACTGATAAAATGGCCTTTGCAAGTTAGTTATATATGAGAAATATGGTTATTGCAAGACTCAAAAACAATATTGCATGTTTCCCAGTGCTGTGCATGACTTCGTTTGAGTGTCTACAACAGGGGTCACCAAACCTGTTCCTGGAGGGTCCAGCAGATTTTATCTCCAACCCTAATCAAACACACCTGGACAAGCTAATCAAGGTCTTACTAGGTGTACTTGAAACACCCAGGCAGGTGTGTTGAGGCAAGTTGGAGCTAAACCCTGCAGGGACACCGGCCCTCCAGGACCGAGATTGGTGACCCCTGCTCTATAAAATAAACTTCTCCTTCTTCACCTGTTGTGTTGCTCTTCCTGTCGACACTTTCAGGATCCAGCTCATCGTGATTCAGGAAATCCTGCAGGCGTTTCAGAGACACGCTGGCCTGATCACAGACAAAACAACCCAGGACAAAAGAGATGGTTATTCTGTAGAAAACACTCCATGAATAAGCCGATCTCGCTCCAGGAATATTACACAATGATCTAAACGATGAACGAGTCTGCATGTGTCTGCCAGACGAGCGTTAAGAAGTGGGTCATTGTAGAATTTGAGAAACTAATAGAAACACGGCATTTCAACCCAAGCCAACAACATTCATTCATTCATTTTCCTTCGGCATAGTCCCTTTATTCATCAGGGGTCACCACAGTGCAATGAACCACCAACTATTCCAGCATATGTTTAACACCGCGGATGCCCTTCCAGCCGCAACCCAGTACTGGGAAACACCCACACACACTCATACACTACAGCCAGTGTAGTTGATCAGTTCCCCTATAGCGGGGGAAACCGGAGCACTCGGAGGAAACCCACAACAACACGGGGAGAACATGCAAACTCCACACAGAAACACCAACTGACCCAGCCGGGACTCAAACCAGCGACCATATATTCATATAGATATTACAGTGATACGATATTCCTATACCTAGACTTGATCCTGATATAGATATGCTAGCGAGTGTTCACCTGTACGATGCTGCTGATGACCTGAGGAAGCATGTTTAATGGAAACCTCAGGATGTTGAACAGAGACAGCGACACAAAGGCCTTTTCTGCATCCAGCACGTTCTTCTCATCCACATTCACGAACACTGCGAATGAGGTCAACGCCACCTGAAACACAACAAACACAAAACAATCACTTAAAGGGGACCTATTATGCAGAAATCACTTCAATAAGAGGTTTAACCCAGCAGTGTGTGAGTCAGCAGTGTGTGAGTATCTCCAGCATCTAAGTGCTAAACATGAATTAATTGTGTGTTTAATAATCAGACTTGATGAAGGAAACACTTTGATTGACATTCTCCCTTTGTACGTGTCATCAGAGGGGGAAAGCCCCGCCCACTTGTGCCCATCTCTCCATCTCATTAGCATAAACGACAGCCCTGAGTGAGAAGCAGCCGTCTGTCCATTAGCCATTAGAGTGTGCTGAAGACCATGTCAGCATAGACTAAGAGGATTATAGATGTGGAGCTTTAGATCCATGGATCTTAATGCTGTCACGATGAAAAGCAGCTGCTTTGTTTTTTTATTTATTTATTTAAAAAGCGCAATAAAACTGAGATGCAACCTGAAACTCGACAGTGCAACACAATCATCAGCACTTATAATAGTTTATTTTGCAGACTCATAATATGCTGTTGTTCTATTGGAATTGTCATTCCAATGGCCGCAGCATGACACTAGCGGCATCTAGTGGCTGTTTTCCAAATCGCACTTGAGTGTTACCTCTTTGGTCATACTGGCAATATGCTAATTCACACTAAAATGCTAACTCATACTAGAAACATGTAAGCAATATGCTAATTCATACTGGAAACATTAACAACATGCAAATGCACACTAAAGTTAGGATAACAAGCTAATTCACAATAGACAAATGCCAATTCAAACAAAAATGTGTTAACTCATACAAAAAACATGCTAGCAACTTGCTAATTCCTACTGAAGACATGCTAGCAACATACTAATACTGGAAACATTCTAAAAACATGCTAATTCACGCGAGTAAAATGCTAATTCATACTAAAATGTTCATTCATAAAAAAATGCTTACCAACATTCTAATTCATACTATCAACATGCTAGTTCATACTGGAAACAAGATAGCAACATACATACTGAAGTCATGCTAAAAACATGCTAAATCATACTAGAAAAATGCAAAGTCATGCTAGAAACAATAGCAACGTGATAATTCATACGAGAAACATGCCAATTTACACTAGAAACAGTTAATTTATACTAGAAACATGCCAACAACATGCTAATTCTTACTGGAAACATGCAAGGAACATGCTAATTCTAACGGGAAACATGATAGCAACATACATACTAAAGCCATGCTAAAACATGCTAACTCATACTAGAAAAATGCAAACTAATGCTATAAACATAATAGCAACAGGGGTAATTCATACTAGAAGCATGCTAATACACACTAGAAACATGTTAATTCAAACAAGAAACATGCAAGCAACATGCTAATTCTTACTAGAAATATACAGGCAACATACTAATACTGGAAACAATGCTAAAAACAAGCTAATACATTCTAACTCCATGCTAGTGTGCATTAATATGTTATATATTAATGCACACTAGTTTAATGTTAATTCATACTAAAAACATGCTAGCAACGTTTTAATTCCTACTGGAAACATGATAGCAACATACGTACTAAAGTCATGCTAAAAACATGCTAATTCATATTAGAAAAATGCAACTAATGCTTGAAACATAACAACAACAGGGGTAATTCATACTAGAAACATGCTAATTTACATTAAAAACATGTTAATTCAAACTAAAAACATGCTAGCAACAAACTAATTAAAACTAAAGTCATGCTAAAAACATGCTAATTCATATTAGAAAATTGCAAACTCATGCTAGAAACATAATAGCAACAGGGGTTATTCATACTAGAAACATGGTAGCAACATGCTAATACATACAAAAACATTGCTAGCAACATGCTAATTGATGCTAGCTGCATTGAAGTGGTACAAGAAAAGTTATTCACCAGGAATGGAGCGCTGGTCCAGGCCATGGTGGACAGAGCACTGAGATACGCAGTTTTCCTCAAAACGTGCAGCTCCTTCTGCCGGATCTGCAGGATTTTATCCCTGAAGGACGGCTCCCAGGCGTACAGCTTCAACACCTTGATGCCATTCAGGATCTCGTTCATCAGTTTAATGCGGTCGTCTTTATATTTCATCTGCTCCACCTGCCGAGAGAGACACCGCAGAACACAGCAGTCTGATTCTGTTCATACTTTGAGTTATATTTAAGGATTTGAAGTTTCACAGAATTTAGAAGTTAGTTCGGCTGGAATTAAAGTAGCTTTTTAAAATGTAAATAATGTTTAGGTAAATATAAAGACTTTATTTTTGAAACATGCTAGCAACATACAAATTTATGCTAGCAACATTCTATTTCCTACTGGAAACATGATAGCAACATACATACTAAAGTCATGCTACAAACATGCTAATTCATATTAGAAAAATGCAAACTAATGCTAGAAACGTAATAGCAACATGCTAATTCATACTGGAAACAGGCTAATTCATACTAGATACATGTTAATTCATACTAGAAACATGCTAATTCATACTAGAAACATGCTAATTTAAACTAGAAACATGTTAAATCATTCTAGAAACTTGCTAAATCATACTAAAAACATGCTAATTCATACCAGAAACATGTTAATTCATACTAGAAACATCCTAATTCATACTAAAAACATGCTAATTCATACTAGAAACATCCTGATTCATACTAAAAACATGCTAATTCATACTAGAAACATCCTAATTCATACTAAAAACATGCTAATTCATACTAGAAACATCCTAATTCATACTAAAAACATGCTAATTCATACTAGAAACATGCTGATTCATACTAGAAACATGTTAAATCATTCTAGAAACATGCTAAATCATACTAAAAACATGCTAATTCATACCAGAAACATGCTAATTCATACCAGAAACATGTTAATTCATACTAGAAACATCCTAATTCATACTAAAAACATGCTAATTCATACTAGAAACATGCTGATTCATACTAGAAACATGTTAAATCATTCTAGAAACATGCTAATTCATACTAAAAACATGCTAATTCATACCAGAAGCATGTTAATTCATACTATAAACATCCTAATTCATACTAAAAACATGCTAATTCATACTAGAAACATCCTAATTCATACTAAAAACATGCTAATTCATACTAGAAACATGCTGATTCATACTAGAAACATGTTAAATCATTCTAGAAACATGCTAAATCATACTAAAAACATGCTAATTCATACCAGAAACATGCTAATTCATACCAGAAACATGTTAATTCATACTAGAAACATCCTAATTCATACTAAAAACATGCTAATTCATACTAGAAACATGTTGATTCATACTAGAAACATGTTAAATCATTCTAGAAACATGCTAAATCATACTAGAAACATGCTAATTCATACTAAAAACATGCTAATTCATACCAGAAACATGCTAATTCATACCAGAAACATGCTAATTCATACCAGAAACATGTTAATTCATACTAGAAACATGTTGATTCATACTAGAAACATGCTAATTCAAACTAAAAACATACTAATTCATAAACATGCTAATTCATACCAGAAACATGCTAATTCATACTAATACATGTTAATTCATACTAGAAACATGCCAGCAACATGCTTATTCATTATGGAAACATGCAAGCAACATGCTAATTCCTACTGGAAATATACTAGCATCTAGATTTAGTTTATCAATTTTGAAATTAAAGTAGCTTTTTTCAATGTAAATAATGTTTAGATCCATATAAAGACTTTATTTTTGATTAACTACAGAATAAACCACTGTTGTCTAATAAATTGCCTAATTAACATAATTTGCATAATAATAATAACTCATTTCTAATAACTGATTTCTTTTATCTTCCCCATGATGACAGCACATTAGAATAGATATCTGACTAGTGTTCAGCTTAAATTGACATGTAAAGGCTTCACTAGGGTAATGAGGGTAAAGTTAGGGTAATTAGGCAAGTCATTGTATAACAGTGGTTTGTTCTGGAGACAATCCAACACTAATATTGCTGAAGGGGTGAATAATATTGACCTTAACATGACTTTAAATCTATTAAGAACTGCTTTTATTCTAGCAGAAATACAACTAATCAGACTTTCTCCAGAAGAAAAAATAATATATACTGTGAACAACTCCTGAAACTGTTCAACATCATGTGGGAAATATGTGCAGAATAAATATTGCATAGGAGGACTACTAATTATGCCCTCAGAACACACTTAACTATAGTATGGTTCAAATAAAGCACTACAGTATTTTCTATTATGTACTACCATCTTTTTCATGCGATCTGACCTGGTATGTTCTGGTCTTCATGGCGATGAAAGCATTGAAGGGGATCAGCAGCACCATCACAGCCACACCGGCCAGAACAGACGGACCCAGATTCTGCAGAGAAACAGGTCATTAAATGCACAGAATTGACCTCAAACATGGCCAACAATCATTTCACTGCCACTGATGTACTTTTGCAACACTTTAGAATAATGGTTTGTTAGTCAAAGGACTTTACTAACATTAAGTACGAGTAATCTTGTAAATCATTTATTAATCATAGCTCAACATTAACTTATGCATTATTATCATCCAAAATTCTGCTTATTAACATTAATTAATCTAGACTGAGTTAACATGAGGGCGACATAGTGGCGCAGTGGTCAGCACTGTGGTCTCATAGCAAAGAAGGTCGCTGGTTTGAGTCTCTGCTGGGTCAGTTGGTGTTTAAGTGTGGAGTTTGCATGTTCTCCCCGTGTTGTTGTGGGTTTCCTCCGGGTGCTCCGGTTTCCCCCACAGTCCAAACACATGCGCTATAGGGGAACTGATCAACTAAATTGGCCGTAGTGTATGAGTGTGTGTGAGAATGAGTGTGTATGGGTGTTTCCCAGTACTGGGGTGCAGCTGGAAGGACATCTGTTGTAAAACATATGGTTGAATAGTTGGCGATTCATTGCTATCTCTGATAAATAAGGGACAAAGCCCAAGAAAAATGAATGAATGAATGAATGAATGAATGAATGAATGAATGAATGAGAGTATACTTTACCTTTTCATTTTCCGTCAGTCTTAGTACATGAAGTAATTACATAGTCAAGCTTCAAATACAAGAGTTGATCAAAACTTTGATCATTTTTGAGATCATGCTAATGGTCTAATCCGATTGAATGATCTATGCTAAGCTAAGCTAAAAGTGCTCTGGTTAGACTTATAGATCAGCTGAATGGATTCAAAATTGATAAAATTGAACTTTTTAACTTTATTTAGGGGAGCTGTAAAGTAAGTCTAATTAAAAACTAAAACTGGAGTGTTCCTTTAGTTAAGTTAATGAGGTTTATTATTTAATAATGGAGCCTTCTCACGTTATTCGCGTGTTTCTCTGCAGCAGAAGTGCTCATGGTTGGTAAACTCAGAGCTCAGTAAAAAGGAGAGTACAACAAATTATTTATTAACTATCCTAGATGCTGAAATAATAACAGAAAAACTCCAGGATGGTGTTATGAAGACTTTCAGAAAGAGAAAAACAATAGTGTGAGACTGAAAACGGCAGCCAGAGGAGAGAATAATGTCAGATTTACTGTCCTGCCCCCCATACACACTGCATTACACACCTCACACAGGCAAGCGCTCGTTTGAGTTTTATAATTTCATGCAAAGATGATATAACACATACATAAACACATATAAATGTTCATATGTTTAAAATATCGTAATGTTAAAGACTTTAGGATCTAAGCTGCTGCTGCTGACTGTTACACGCGTCATGTGAAAGGGCTCCGTTACATTATAAACCCGCTGATTTGGCTGGGTTAGTCTTTGGTTGTTTTTTGAGTGTTGTCGCGTCACGTGTTGTTGTAGAGGGTGTGAACGTGTTATCAGGCTTTAACAGAAGTGCTCTGACCTGCCAGAGGAAGAAGAGCGCCAGGAAGATCTGCAGCGGCGCCGACCACAGCATGTTGAGGAAGGTGGTGAGATCCATGAAGCGCTGCGCGTCTACAGACATCAGATTGACCACCTCACCCACGGTAGAGGAGCGCTTGGCCTCATTCGTGATCACCAGAGCCTGACACGGAGGATTAGAGGAGTCAAAACTACATGATTACACCATACAAAACACATTTACCAGAATTTACACCATTCAAAACTCATTTACATCATAAAAAACTCTTTACACCATGTTTACACCACACAAAACTCATTTACACCATATTTACACCATGTAAAACTCATTTACACCATATTTACACCATGTAAAACTCATTTACACCATATTTACACCACGCAAAACTCATTTACACCATATTTACACCATGTAAAACTCATTTACACCATATTTACACCATGTAAAACTCATTTACACCATGTTTACACCACACAAAACTCATTTACACCATATTTACACCATACAATACTCATTTACACCATATTTACACCATACAAAACTCATTTACACCATATTTACACCATGTAAAACTCATTTACACCATATTTACACCACGCAAAACTCATTTACACCATGTTTACACCATGTAAAACTCATTTACACCATATTTACACCATACAAAACTCATTTACACCATATTTACACCATGTAAAACTCATTTACACCCTATTTACAACATGTAAAACTAATTTACACTCTATTTACAACCCTATTTACAACATGTAAAACTAATTTACACCTTATTTACAACATGTAAAACTCATTTACACCATATTTAAAGCATGTAAAACTCATTTACACCATATTTACACAACGCAAAACTCATTTACACCATATTTACACAACGCAAAACGCATTTACACCATTTTTACATCACACAAAACTCATTTACACTATATTTACACCACACAAAACTCATTTACACCATATTTACACCACACAAAACTCATTTACACCATATTTACACCACACAAAACTCATTTACACCATATTTACACCACGTAAAACTCATTTACACCATATTTACACCACGTAAAACTCATTTACACCATATTTACAACATGTAAAACTAATTTACACCATATTTAAAGCATGTAAAACTCATTTACACCATATTTACACAATGCAAAACTCATTTACACCCTTTTTACATCACACAAAACTCATTTACACCATATTTACACCACAAAAAACTCATTTACACCATATTTACACCACGCAAAACTCATTTACACCATTTTTACACCATGTAAAACTCATCCACCCCACACAAACACAACTATCCCCATCAGTCTACTGATGTATTTTTAATGTTTGTGTTTTAACGTAATATCCTGTGACTGCAGATCAGGGAATGTTGCGGGAGACGAGCTTCCCACACACAGCAGTGTTTGATTATTACGCAGCTCTGGGTACACCAGCACAGATGTGTGTGAACACGCCGGCACTCTTACCACACCTAAACCACTCAAATACACACTCTATTCTCCGGCTTTACTAGAGCAGAGGCCACAGGGACACTCACACACACACACACACACACACACACACACACACACACACACACACACACACACACACACACACACACAATGACATTCAATAAAAATGTCAAATAAGGGGTTTTTCTGGTTTTTCAGCTCAAAAAACAAAATTTTTCTACCCAAAAGTTCACCTGGAAGATTTCTTTCTTGTTTAAAATGTGATTTAACTTTGTAATAATTGAATTAAAAATTATTTAAAATACATTTTTGCAGTGTCATGCTTACATTTAAAATTACAATGCATATTTAATTTTCTGTGCATGTGTTTATTTTACATATTTTTATTAAATGTTTATAAATTGTTACATCTTTTATTAAATATACTTTGCATATATTTAATATTTATATTTATATAAACTTATATATATATATGTATATATTTGCAAAATGCTATTGGCTGCTTTTTAAGAAAGGGGAAGGGCTACTCTACGCCCCGCCCATCTTCATGTTTCAGTTGAGATTACGTCAAACATCGTCAAAAGCTCTTCATGAGCATCTCCTCTGCTGTGTTGATGATGAGCATCAGTAATGTGTCAGGGAGTTTTGGGGTTTTTACCTTCCTGTAAATGGCTCCGATGATGCCTGTGCGCAGCCTCATGCCCGTGACGAAGCAGTACTGAAAGTGTTGATGCAGAATGAGCGTCTGCAGGAGAGACGTGCCGAACATCAGAAACGCCAGAGCGTAACCCCACCACGACGGGACGTCCGACTGCTTGGTGAACGCTATCAACATCCTGGAAATTACAAAGGAGAATCAGCTTAAAACCACGACACTGGGTTCATTCACGGTGATTTCACTCCCTCATACAACAAAAAAAAGGTTTAGTGGTTTTCAGATTGACTCCTCTGTGGTGATGTTGGTGCTGTTTTTGACTTCCACTATAATCACATTTATTGATTGTAATGCCATGACAGCAGATACTTTTGCATTACTGATTGTTGCTGGTTTTACTGTTCATCAGTTGTCAGCATGAACACTTTGGATCGGCCTGTGCTGAAGAGTTTCGGGCTTTTATATGAAGTTCAGTAGAGTAAAACAGCAGATTATAGTGTGTGTGTGTGTGCACAAATACACTTACTGGGCTTTATTTTAAAGATCTAGGTGCAAAGTCTAAAGCTTAAAAGCATTAAGGATGTGTCCGAATCCACTTTTGCTATTTCATGAATGAAGAAATACACTAAAAAAGCAAAGTACAAACACTGTAACGTTACTTATCACTGTAATCCAACTCAAAATACATTTGTCTATGTGAATATACTCAATAATTCTGCCTAACAGTGCATATGTGCTTTAAAGGGTCATAAAACACCAAAACACATGTGTTGAGCTGTTGACAGTCGTATATGTGTCCCACACTGCTAAAAACACTATTAGGACACATATATTTCACTGAAAAGTGTAAATTGGTTGTTTTTGCGTTATTTCAAGCAAATTCGTACTTCCGGTTTGAAACGAATTTTTGAAGCTGCGTCACGGCCATGAGATAATAGCCTGTATTCCAGCGTGCAGACTGGACGACTGTGCCAGAGTGTGTCTTATTACGTCTTACAGTGTGATGCATTAATGCATGAGTAAGGCTTGGTTCAAACCAATCAGCGCGCTCTATTGTGCAACTTCATTAATATTCATTACTGTCACAGTGTTTAAACGGCAGAGACGCCACGTTGTGTTGGCAAAACAAGCGTGAAGTGTTGCTTTTATAGTTTGCTGCAGTGAAGTTTTGTTTTCATTTTCTCTCTGTGAGAGCGCAGCTGGAGTCACGTGTGGATTAACAGTGTACGCGACGCTCCACAACAATAACTTACGTGTCTAAGGAGGATTATTGTTTACCTGAGAGCTGTTCTCATCTGCAAACGCTGAGATCCGGATTCGCTGCTCGTCTCCTCTTAATAAAGACGCGGCTCTAGTTGCTGGTGATTGTCCTGTCTCTACAGATTTGGTAAGTGAGCGACCAGTGCTCTTTGTTTATTCAGTTTGTTTGTATCGAACTAACTATTGCACTGAGTGTAAACATGTTAGCACCACAACCAAACTTTAACCTCGTGTAGGATTTTCACTGCATTTTGTGACCGGAATAACACACGCGGCTTTCTGACACTACCTGCCGAGTGCATCTAAGTTTCCTGGAAATGCTGAGGGTTTTTTTTTCTCTCATTCGCTGTGCGGTATCAAACATTGCATGAAAAATACACGCTTAGAGCAGCTCCTTGAATCAAATATCTCGTTTGTCGTGAGGGACATGAATGAATTCCCTGAATGAAAGAGCCAAACTGCAGTTAAAGTCCACCATTTAATCATTTGGCAAATAATTTGACTACAGATGTCCATGTAGGTTAAACACCATCACTTTCTACTGTGTGTATTTTGACTCTGAAACTCGCGTGCGCCCAAATAGACACTCCCACACCATGCCTCTTTTCTTCCTCCGACACTCCCCCCTAAACACAGCTGGACACGCCCACTTTTCTGACTTTTTCCAAAGTAGAGGTGTGAAAACACCCTGCTGAAACGAGGGGCTTTCATGGCCCTTTAAAATACACAAAGCACTGTACAGAAACATATTTGCATTGTAAAACATGAGCAGAGAGTGTAAAAACCAGACGTGGCAGAAGCAAAACAGCATGCAAATGATTGTTCCTGTGGTGAACAGCATCACAAAAAGATCATTATCACACCGCCTTACAGCTATTCATAATTCATATTTGTTTTGCCTGTTAGGAGCAAATTACAAAAATCTATGCGGCTAATAAAATAATATGTAAATATGATCAATATGCACTCACTCTTTACTTGATTCAAACCTTTATTAGTTTCTATATCCTATCAAAGGAAGATATTTAGTAGAAAGCTGAAAATCTGCAACCATTGACTTCCAAAGTATGTCTATTTCTCCTATAATGGAAGTCAATGGTTACAGGTTTTCAACATACATCAAAATATCTTCCTTAGTGTTCAACAGAAGAAAGACAGCTGTCATCATTTTGAAACCACTTAAAGGAGAGTAAATAGTGAGTTAATATATTCATGTTGGCTTTAAAATAAGAGAACAGATACTGTGACATTGATTATTAAACACTGAACAGCATCTGTTGTTTTAAAGAGAGTGCATACATGAAACTGTCCACATTCATTATAATATCGCATTAAACAAAACAGGATTAATCCCAGCGCTGTGAACATCTGCTGGAAATCTGAGACGGAGCAGGTAAACACCATTTAGTCCCCATTTCCCAGCAGCACTCACAGAAGGAGTTGTTTATGGAAATAAAAGCTTGTAGAGTTGGGTGATTGGGCTAAAACTCAGATAATATTTTCCACTGTCCCGACAATATCGATATTATATCACAAATCGACAAAAATAACTCACATATTTGTAGACTTTAGTTAAATTAAAGGCAAAACATTTATTTGACTAGAAATTGTATGAATAGAATAGCTGGAAAGCCTGGAGGTAGTCCTGTATTGAATGCATTAAACATTACAGAAATTCATTCATACTCATTCATTCATATTTATTCGGTCATTTTTCTTCCGCTAAGTCCCTTTATGTCAACTAGCACAGTCAGGACTCGAACCAGTGACGTTCTTGCTAACCACTGAGCCATCATGCCACCCCATTACATAAATAAAATGAATTATTTTCATCAATTTTATGTTTTTGGATTAGTTCTCTTCATGAGTTTATATGTGCATTTCTTACTGAATTAAAATAATGGTGCATGTCTGTATCAGGATGTTTTTCGTAAAATGTGCTGATTATATTTTATTGTAGATACGATTATTTATATAACTATTTTAAAGAATGTGGATGCAACAATAAACTTGGACAAAATTTTAGAGCTGAGATGGTATTGATTAGTTAAAAAACCCATAAAGTTTACCATGACAGAAAAACTAAGCTTAAAAAAAACTGGTGTGGTCTGTTAAGATTAGTGTCTTATTTATTTGTGTTATTTATTTGGTTATTTATTTGGTTATATAAATGGATTTTTTTATTGGATTATTTATTGCATCATTTATTTATTTATTTATTTGTGTTAATTATTTGGGTATTTATTTTGTTATGTATGGATTAATTTATTGGATTATTTATTGCATTTTTTATTTATTTATTTGTGTTATATATGTAATCATTACTTGGATTATTTATTGCATTGTTTATTTATTTATTTGTGTTATTTATTTGCTCATTTATTTGTGTTATTTATTTATTTATTTGTTTATATATGGAAGTATTTATTGAATTATTTATTTATTTGTGTTATATATGTAATTTTTAATTTAATTATTTATTGCACTGTTTATTTATTTATTTATTAATTTATTAATTTATTAATTTATTTGTGTTATTAATTTGGTTATATATGTAAATAATTCATTGGATTATTTATTGCATTGTTTGTTTATTTAATTATTTATTTGTGTTATTTATTTATTTGTGTTACATATTTCATTTTTAATTGGATTATATATTGCATTGTTTGTTTATTTATTTATTTGTGTTATTCATTTATTTGCTTATATATGGATTTATTTATTGAATTATTTATTGAATTATTTATTTATTTGTGTATTTATTAATTTGTGTTATATATGTAATTTTTAATTGGATTATTTATTGCATTTTTTGTTTGTTTGTTTATTTATTTGTGTTATTTATTTATTTATTTAGTTGGTCAGATATGTAAGTATAAATTGGATTATTTATTGTATTGTTTGTTTATTTATTTATGTTGTTGTTATTTTAACATTCAGTGCATCACTAATAAATGTCAAATTAGATTTTATTAATAATGATGTCTATGCTATACATGCAAATGAGTTATTGAAATATAAATTAAAAACTTTCAAAAAGTTGTATATATTTTTATGCCTCTCAAGTTTTTACCTGTTTATTAAAATCTTATTTAAAATTATTCCCCAACATGTTAATTTGGGTGTATAATTTTGTACGATATTCACGTATAGCGCACACATCTGACCTGAGCAGCTGAGGGTTGATGAAGGTAATGAGATCCTGCAGGAGTTTGAAAGCAGAGCCGATGAGGAAGTAGGGCCCGAAGGCTCTCAGCAGGGCCCACAGAAATGAAGGCTGCCGGGACTTCTGCTGCTGTTTGGACAGCAGAACCTCCGCCTCCTCAGGACTCTCATTCACATGGTTGCTTTCAGCTCCTGAGCCGGGTTTGGTAAACGTGACCTGCTCTTTGACGTTCTGATCATCGCTGCTGCTCGGAAAAACAAACACAGACACAAATACAGTTAGACCAGTCAGATTAAAGTCCCAGCAATATTAGTGTGGGATTGTCTCCAGAGCAAACCACTGCTATACAATGACTTGCCTAATTACCCTAACTTTACCCACAGTCTGGATGTGCAGTGGTTTAAATAACACTGTTTGTTCAGGTGTAAAACTAAAGCTTTGAGACTATTCCGGCTTACTTTAGTTGTTTCTGTGAGTGAAAGAAATGTCATTAGTCAATAATGAATAACAATGCACTTTAGGAAGTGACTAAAGGTCAAAAAGAAAAAGCAGAAACAAGTTTGACCTGTATAAATGTAGGAGGACTAGAGGAGCAAAACATCCAGATGAGATAGTGAAAATATGAATGGCACTTGCATGAGGATGTATCTGAATCACTAACATGCATGATAAAGCCGTCACACGTTCACCTGTGTGCTGCATGCCACATGCTGGATCTGATTATTATCAAAGACACTGGCATCAGAAAGCACAGCACTGAAGCACTGATGTTATTGATGTTATATTGTGTATAACATCAATAACCTACTAACTGCCTAGCAACTACCCAGAACATCTTAAAAACTGCATAGCAATACCCTAAGAACCACTTAAAAAACACCCTAGCAACAGCCTAGCAACCACATGGAAAATCTTAGAAAATTCATAGCTACACCTTAACAACCACCGAGAACAACTTAAAAACTGCAGAGTAGCCCAATCAACCACCTACAAAGCCACAACTACACCTTGGCAACTGCCTAGCAACCACCCAGAAAAACTCAGCAACACATGATATTGTGTGTGAAACAATTATCGAGACCCTCTGAGGAGCATTATTGCGGAGGTTTTGCATTTGACCTGGTGTTGTTTAACACTGTACCTGTGAGCTTTGGATTTCTCCACCTCCCACTGATTGAGAAGACCGGGAACCACCAGCTCTGAACTGTCATTCTTGTTCAGGGACCACAGGTCTTTATTCTCCAGCGGCGATTTGTAGCCTTTGATGGCCATTCTGGAAATACAAAAAGGAAACGTTTGTGTCTCAGAGACATCATTAAACTACAGCCCAGTGTTTTACTTAATGAGTAATAAAAAGAAAATGAGGAGAAATTACATTTGAAATAAAGTGATAATTGTGAGAAATAAAGTGATAATTGTGAGAAATAAAGTGATAATTGTGAGAAATAAAGTGATAATTGTGATAAATAAAGTGATAATTGTGAGAAATAAAGTGATAATTGTGAGAAATAAAGTGATAATTGTGATAAATAAAGTGATAATTGTGAGAAATAAAGTGATAATTGTGAGAAATAAAGTGATAATTGTGAGAAATAAAGTGATAATTGTGAGAAATAAAGTGATAATTGTGAGAAATAAAGTGATAATTGTGATAAATAAAGTGATAATTGTGAGAAATAAAGTGATAATTGTGAGAAATAAAGTGATAATTGTGATAAATAAAGTGATAATTGTGAGAAATAAAGTGATAATTGTGATAAATAAAGTGATAATTGTGAGAAATAAAGTGATCATTGTGATAAATTAAGTGATCATTGTGAGAAATAAAGTGATCATTGTGAGAAATAAAGTGATCATTGTGAGAAATAAAGTGATAATTGTGAGAAATAAAGTGATAATTGTGAGAAATAAATTGATAATTGTGAGAAATAAAGTGATCATTGTGAGAAAAAAAGTGATAATTGTGAGAAATAAAGTGATAATTGTGATAAATAAAGTGATAATTGTGAGAAATAAAGTGATAATTGTGATAAATAAAGTGATAATTGTGAGAAATAAAGTGATCATTGTGAGAAATAAAGTGATCATTGTGAGAAATAAAGTGATAATTGTGATAAATAAAGTGATAATTGTGAGAAATAAAGTGATAATTGTGATAAATAAAGTGATAATTGTGAGAAATAAAGTGATAATTGTGAGAAATAAAGTGATCATTGTGAGAAATAAAGTGATAATTGTGATAAATAAAGTGATAATTGTGAGAAATAAAGTGATCATTGTGAGAAATAAAGTGATCATTGTGAGAAATAAAGTAAAAATTGTGAGAAATGAAATGAAAATTTTGAGAAATAAAAAATAAATTGAGAATTGCGAGAAATACAATTATAATTCTGGGGAACGAAATAAAAATTGTGAGAAATGATGTGAAAATTGTGAGAAAAAAAGTGATAATTGTGTAAAAAAAAATGATAATTGTGAGAAAAAAAGTGATAATTGTGAGAGAAAAAGTGATAATTGTGAGAAATAACGTGAAAATTGTGAGAAAAAGTGATAATTGTGAGAAATAAAGTGATAATTGTGAGAAATAACGTGAAAATTGTGAGAAATAAAGTGATAATTGTGAAAAATAAAGTGATAATTGTGAGAAATAACGTGAAAATTGTGAGAAATAAAGTGGTAATTGTGAGAAATAAAGTGAAAATTGTGAGAAATAAAGTGAAAATTGTGAGGAAAAAAGTTATAATTGTGAGAAATAAAGTGAAAATTGTGAGGAAAAAAGTGATAATTGTGAGAAATTATGTGAAAATTGTGAGGAACGAAATGAAAATTTTGAGAAATAAAAAATAAAGTGAGAATTGCAAGAAATAAAATGATAATTGTGAGAAAAAAGTGAGAAATGCAGGAAATAAAAAGAGAAATAAAAAGAGAAATAAAGTGATGAATAAAGAAAAAATTCTGAAAAATAAAATGAGAATTCTGTGAAATGAATTCATTTCATTTCATTGGGGTGGGGGGGGGGCTGTGAGAATTGCAAAAATTGCAAAACTAAAACAAATAAATTGTGAGAAATAAAGTCAGAATTGTAAGACACGTATTATTGTTGGAATAGTGTAAAATACAGATGCTTTCCTGCATGAGAAAATAACATTATAATGAGATTATAATACCTGCGTTTACATTTTATTTGGTATTATTAGAAATAATAATTTGGCTTTAAATTTAAAATACAAACATTAAAATGGTAAATCTGAATGTTATTCATGCAGAATCCTGTGATCAAGCAGGAAACGTCTGCCACTGTTTCTCTCTGACACAAACACAAACACAACTCACCTGGTGAACCACCAAAACGTCATTCTGGAGAGGAATCCAGCGGTGGTTTCTGGACACACGTTCTGAACACACACACACACACACACACACACACACACACACACACACACACACACACACACACACACACACACACACACACACACACACTTCAGTGAGGTTCTGACCTCTATATGATGATAATTCAATAATACAAAGAGTGTGGAACTAAAGAAAGCAAATAAAACACACACTCTTACACACACACAATCTAATAACATACACACACAAACACACTTAGACATACACACACTCAAAAATGTACACACACAAATGTATCCATACTTAAACACAATGAATACACACACTCAAACATATGAACACTCGAAGAATGCACACACACACATGCACACACACAAAACATTTACTTATGCATGCAGACTTACACCCCATTCACACGGGGCGTCAGCCTCAACACTTCTCATTCACTTTGAATGGGTGACGTCAGGCGTTGCCAAACTGCATTGTGGATCCGTCTGCGCCGCTTCAGAGGCGTTGCTCACTGCAGAAGTTGGGACTCGCTCAACTTTTCAAGCGGCGACGGAAGCGTCAGCCAATCAGAACGCTGTATGCAAATACACCAGCTCAGACTGTGGCCTATTACTGGCTAATTTGATTGGCTGACGCTACTATGACGATCGCGTCAGCCCCAACTTCAGACACGCCTTCAGTCAAGCGTTGAAGCTGACGCCCCGTGTGAATGAGGCGTTAAACACACATGCATATAGACACACATACACACACACTTACAGACATACACACACTCATAAACGCATACACACATATGCACACACACACACACACACATGTATGCATACTTAAACACAGTGAATACACACACACAAACCCATACACACACTCACACACACACACACACACACACACACTCTTACAGGGTCCATGACGGCGCTGGAGAATAGAGGAGGCTTTTCATTGAAGCAGGACAGGATGAGTTCAAGCAGGGTAAAACTGAAGTAAATGTAGAACGTGGTGAACCTCAGCTTGTCTTTGACCTGCTTTTGCAACAAAGAGAACACTACTTTACCACAGTATCACAACACACACACACACACACACACTCGTGTGCACACCACCGGACATATATCAATACATACAGAACATTATCGTTCATATTTTTAAACAGAATTACTAATATAAAAAACAACAGCATTAATAACCTTAAAACACAATATTAAATTAATATATCAGGCTTTTTTAAATGATTATATACCCAAAAATTTTAAATGCACAACATGCGCAACTAAAATAAATATTATTAAATGCATTTTCATAAAAAAAAAAAAAAAATATATATATATATATATATATATATATATATATATATATATATATATATATATATATATATATATATATAATTAAAATCATATTTCAAAAAAATAATATTAATTGTGCACAATCAATAATAATGATCCAATACATTCACCGGCCACTTTATTAGGTACACCTCACTAGTACTGGGTCGGACCCCTTTTGCCTTCAAAACTGCCTTAATCCTTCATGGCAGAGATTCAACAAGCTACTGGAAATATTCCTCAGAGATTTTGCTCCATGATAGCATCACACAGTTGCTGCAGATTTGTCGGCTGCACATCCATGATGCCAATCTCCCGTTCCACCACATCCCAAAGCTGCTCTATTGGATTGAGCTCTGGTGACTGTGGAGGCCATTTGAGTACAGTGAACTCATCGTCATGTTCAAGAAAGCAGTCTGAGATGATTGAGCTTTATGACATGCTGCGTTATCCTGCTGGAAGTAGCCATCAGAAGATGGAGACACTGTGCTCATAAAGGGATGGACATGGTCAGCAGCAATACTCAGGTAGGCTGTGGCGTTGATGCTCAATTGATACTAATGAACCCAAAGAAAATCTCCCCCACACCATTACACCACCACCACCAGCCTGAACCGCTGATACAAGGCAGGATGATCCATGCTTTCATGTTGTTGAGGCCAAATTGTGAGTCGAGCATCTGAATGTGTCAGCAGAAATGGAGACTCATCAGAGCAGCAACGTTTCTCCAATCTTCTATTGTCCAGTTTTGGTGAGTCTGTGTGAATTGTAGCCTCAGTTTCCTGTTCTTAGCTGACAGGAGCGGCACCCGGTGTGCTCTTCTGCTGCTGTAGCCCATCCGCCTCAAGGTTGGCCGTGTTGTGTGTTCAGAGATGCTCTTCTGCAGAGCTCGGTTGTAGCGAGTGCTTATTTGAGTTACTGTTGCCTTTCTATCAGCTGGAACCAGTCTGGCCATTCTCCTCTGACTTCTGGCCTCATCAACAAGGCATTTGCGTCCACAGAACTGCCGCTCACTGGATATTTCCTCTTTGTCGGAGCATTCTCTGTAAAGCCTAGAGATGGTTGTGCGTGAAAATCCCAGTAGATCAGCAGTTTCTGAAATACTCAGAGCAGCCCGTCTGGCAGCAACAACCATGCCACGTTCAGAGTCTCTTAAATCCCCTTTCTTCCCCATTCTGATGCTCGCTCTGAACTGCAGCAGATCCTCTTGATCATGTCTACATGCCTAAACGCAGTGAGTTGCTGCCATGTGATTGGCTGAGTTGAAATTTGCAAGCAGTTGAACAGGTGTACCTAATAAAGTGGCCGGTGAGTGCATATTTTTAAACATTTGAATATTTGATCTGTATGCCTTGACTGCAGCATAATTGGCTTTAATGCATTAATAATATGATTTAAAAAGCATAATCAGATGGCATTTGCTGAGACCGTGAGCGAGACTCATTAGAGCTGAAAACACACACATCTGTCTGCCGAGTTTTTAAGTCTGTCTTGAAGCAGCTTTTAGGAACAACAGCAGCTTTATTCTCCATCTCTGTGTAAAACTCCTGTCCTTCTCTGAACTCCACAGAGAAAAGCTCCACATGTAGGTCAAAACATGCATGTGAAGAAATAAAACAGATTTACTCATTCTGAAACTGGCCAATGCACTGCTGCTGCTGCTGCTGCTGCCGTCAGGCCACTGACCTCCTTGTTGTTGTTTTGAAAACATTACAGCAGGAGCAAAACATATTTGGATATACTTAAGATTGTTATATGTAGCACTGGAAGCTAAAAATGTAAAAATAAATTAAATAAATAAAATGTAAATAATTTTAAAAGTAATTTATTTATGAAATAAAACAAAATAAATGAATAAATTCAATAAACTAATAAAACAGATTAATAACAAATAAAATAATAATAACAAATAAACAATTACTACTAAAAATGAATAAATTTAAAGATTAGATGCAGAAACCTCTAAGTGCCATCTGAGTTTTTCTCCTAAAACTAGCATTTTTCTTAAGCTCCTTTGTTTAAGTTGAGTAATTTTTGTTTTATGTCAGTTAATACTTTATTTTCATTGACTTTAATGTGAAATAAGTGAACATAAATTAAGGAGTCTTAGAAAAAAACTAATTTTGGAATCAAATTTCAGATGATACTTAGAGATTTTTGCATCTGAACTCTTCATATATATATAATAACAAAAAGTAATATTATTAATAATAAAACACTAAAAATATTCAGCAAGACTAAACAAAATTCAAAAATAACATTTTACAACTAATGATAAAAATAAACAAATAAATAAAATAAAAGAAATAAATCAAATAGCTAAAACAATTAAAATGCATTAAAAACTATAAATTAATTAAATTAGTAAATAAATTAATTAATTAAAAGAAAATTATAAAATAAATTAAAACAAATTAAATAAAAATAAATTAAATAAATACATTTAATTAAATAATTTTTTTATAAAAATTTTATAAAAATATATTATTAGTTAATTAATAAATAAATAAAAAACTAAATTAAAATTAAATAAATAAATAAAAAACTACAAATATTCAACAAGACTAAACAAAACTCAAAAATAACATTTTACAACTAATAATAAAAATAAACAAAAAATAAAATAAAATAAAATAAAATAACTAAATAAAATAGATAAATAAATGTAACAAATAAAAAATAAAACAAAATAAATGTAAAAAAACATAAATTAATTAAAATAAATTAAATTAAATATAAATAATAAAATTTAATTAAATAAAAAGAAATAAAATAAAATAAAATAAAATAAATTAAATTAAATAAGCATATTTAAAGCATATTAATCATAAACAAATAAATAAATAAAATAAAAAATAAATACAAATTTAACTAAATAAAATAATAAATAAATAAATAGAAAACAACATTTTAAAATAACATTTTAAAACTAATACTTAAATAATTAAATAAATGAATAATAATAAACTAAAATATTCAGCGAGACTAACCAAAATTTATAATTAAATAAAAATTGTTTATCATATTTATACAAAATATATTTAATATTTATATTATTTGCATATATTATATTTATATTATTTTATATCTTTTATATTTTTGTATACATTTATAAAATATGAAATGAAAGAAATACAATGTAAATTTACCAATACAGCAAAACCAAGCCATATTAATGTTGTTTTATATTTCTTTATATAACATTGTAGACTGTGAGCATAACATCTCAGAAAAACGAGTGTAATGAGCAGAATGTTTTACATTTTAATTAACTTTTCATAAAAAGTGTCTGTAAATGCATGTGAAGTATTATGCATTCACACAGTACTGACTTAGTATTATTCCATCTTTTAAGTCAGATGTCACGTGTTATTATAATCATAAACAGCATGCATGTGAAGAAATGAAACAGTGAACAAACATTACCGACATCTAGCATAATTATACTCAGAATATTGATGAATGCAATAAAACTGTCAGATTTTTGGACTAACTGCATCTCTGTTTAATGTTAATCGTCTTTTTTTCATATTTATTTTGTGTTGTCACTTGTCACTTTATGTACACTGGATGCTTCTGTAGCCAAAACAAATTCCTTGTGTGTGTGAAGCACACTTGGCAATAAAACTGATTCTGATTCTGATTCTGAAATAAAGTAAAGCAATTAAACTGCATTACTGACCTCTGTGTTTGCATGCATGATTTTGGAGCGAAACGGCACAATGGCGAAAACAACAGAAAGTGTCCAGAAAATAAAGAGCACACCGGACGACTGCACTCCTTTCAGACGCTCAAACTGGATCAGGAAAGTGGCTAAAAGCTGCACAAACACACACACAGATTTATTATTCACACATTGTACTGCATCTTTATATTATTCACATACTGTACTGCATCTTTAACACTGCTAGATGGGGTTTAGATTTATATACGTATTAGTATAAATAGAATTTAGTTTTAATATACTGTAGGTTAGTCATGCATTTTATTAGGATTATTCTTTCACTTTTCACCCGAAATCAAAAAAATGTAAGCAAAACAAAAACAAAACAAAAAATAATAAAACAAATAAAAAATGATAAAACAAAAAATAAAACAATATAATATTATTAAAGTAATAAAAATAAAATATAAAAAAAATAAAACATAAATAAAACAATAAAACAAAACAAAAAAATAATAATGATCATGATGATGACAATAATAATAAAATAAAATAAAAAATTAATTAAATTAAATAATAAAATATAAAAAATAAAATAAATAAAATAATAAAAATGTATAAAAAACAAATACCAATAATAATAATAATAATAATAATAATAATAATAATAAATAAAACAATTAAAATAAAATATTAAAATAAAACAAAAATAACAATAAAACGAAGAATAAAATATTTTTTAATTAAATAATAAAAATAAAATAAACAAAAATAATAAAATAAAACAAATAAATAAAACAATCAAACAATAAAACTATATATTATAAAACTATAATAAAACTATATATTATTACAAATAAAATAAAATATAAAGCACAGTAAACAAAATAAAATTAAATACATAATTAAATCAATAACACAATTAATTAAAATAAAATAAATAAAACAAATCAATAAAATATATTACAAAAAACATTTATTCTCAAAATATTACATGAAAATAGGATTCAACAAAAAACTAAAAAAATTACAGCAATAACAAACCATATTAATATTTTGGCCATTTTAGTTTTTACTGTCCAATAAAAGCCTCTTTGCGAAATCTAACACACAATGCACCATTTAATAAAACAGCTCACACTTAAATCGACCCAATAAACACTCACCTACATTTCTGATGTAATAAATAAGTGTTATGAGAAAGACTCATGATTGCAGCTTGTTTTGAAATCGTACTGTACATATTTAATATCTGCTGTATAATGTATGACTGTAAGCACTAACCATTGTCATGCCAACTATTAAAGGAGTGACGAAATATATGGGAGAAATTTTAGAACCCTGATTCATCTGGTGAAACGCCGAAAACAGATCCGTCCAGCAGACGATCCACAGAATCAGGCCCAGAACCTGCACACACACACACACACACACTTCTCATTCATATGAGATCATATTTCTCACTCTACTGAAAACTTAAAGGCAAATGTTTGCTTAAAAAAAATTAAGAAATATAATATATAAGAAATATTAATACACTTTTCAAAAACTAATGATCACATGTCCAACATAACACATCACTAAATAAAGTATATGACATCAAATGATAGATAAGAAATAGTGAAATAATTAACAAGATCAAAATAATAATAATAACATAAAATGATACTTAGAAAATAATGAAATGATTATTTTTATGAAAATATTAATAAAATAATAATATAAAAATAACAAACGATAAATTACCATGAAATAATTATGAAACAATATGAAATTATGTTAAAATCATGAAATAATAATGAATTAATGAAGTTTTATGACAATATTAATGGAGTAGTGATATAAAACAATAAATAATATTGTAATAATTAATCATATGAAAAAATAGATAAATAATAATGAAATCATTAATAAATAATATGAAACAATAGAAATAATAATGAAATAATTAATAAAATGAAAATATTAATGAAATAATAATATGAAAGAATAGATCAATAATAATAAAACAGATAAATACATGAAAATTATAATGAAATAATTAATAATACATTTAATAATTTAATAATTAATAATATGAAATTATAAATCTATACAAATTAAATAATTATATAATTAATAAAAAATAATAATTAAATAATTAACAATATGAAATGATAAATAAATAAAAATTAAATAATTAAATAATTAATAATATGAAATGATAGATAAATAAAAATTAAATAATTATAAAAAAATGAAACACTGACTAATCTAAAAGGACAGAGTTGTTATTTGATCCCTGCAGTATATATAGAGTATGGTGATATATATATATATATATATATTCTCAGACCGTCTTGATTCTGTTGAGAATGGACATCATGATGTATCCGCGGTTGTTCCTCCTCAGGTGTAGTATATAGAGAGGAGCTGCGGCCCACAGGTAAATACACGGAGCCCACGATAAAACTGACATCTGGAAACATTCTGGCAGATCCGGCTGCTGCCCGTACAGCGTCAGGTTCAGTTCCTGAAGAGAAACAGCAGAAACCACACACTCAATAATCAACAACCATCAGCATTACATACACACTGACAGGATATCATTCATTCATTCATTCATTCATTTTGTTGTCGGCTTAGTCCCTTTATTAATCCGAGGTCGCCACAGCAGAATGAACCGCCAACTTACCCAGCAAATGTTTTATGCAGCGGATCTCCTTCCAGCTGCAACCCATCTTTGGGGAACACCCATACACACTCATTCACACTCATACACTACGGACAATTTAGCCTACCCAATTCACCTGTACCACATGTGTTTGGACTGTAGGGGAAACCGGAGCACCCGGAGGAAACTCCACACAGACTGGATATTATTATTTTTTTATGTTATGAATATTTTTAGAATTGTTAAATAATAATAATAATAATAATTAAATAATTTGTATTATAAATTATATAAAAAAATAATTACACTTTAATAATATTAAATACAATATAGAGTATTAGATACACTGATGGGGGAGGGAATTAAATCTAAATAAAAGTTTATATAATTACTAAATAAAAATTATATTTAAATACATAATATATATTAAAATATCTAAAAATAATTACATTTTAAATAATATTAAATAAAACTGATACACAGATTAAATATAATTAAATATAAATAAAACTATTTATTTATATATATATATATATATTACTATATTTTTATATTATTATATATGTTATCAATATTTATAATACACACTTATTAGACATTAATAAAAGCGAGAATGAAATACTACTACAAAAACAAATTAAATATAAATATAATAATAATTTTAAATAACATAAAAATATTACTTATGCTTTTAATAAAAAATTAAATATAATTCAAAAATAATACACGGAAGATTAATATAGATACACTGATAGAGGAGAGGGACTACAAAACTAGAAAAATATATATTATTTACACATTTTATGAATATTTATAATTATTAAATAATTATAATTAAAAACAATTAAACAAAAAAATTAATCTCTGTAAATGAAGTCATGATAAAGTAATGTGAAGATTCAAATTTTTGCAAACAAAATTTATAATAAATATTTATAAATAATTAATTTATGAATAATAATAATTTATAATAAAAAATTCAAACACATGAAAAAATAATTGTATTGTTTAAAAAATATTAATACATTTTATAATCTTTTAATGTGTTTGAATTATTATTATAACATATGAAAAAAAATGGAAATTGTAGCCAAACCCTAATTAAACACACACACACATACTGTATTTAAAGGTTTATATATCGGCTCTTTGTGTTTAAAGATAAAAGAAGCAGGCAGTAATAGGCATGTCACACAAGCTCTGGAGACTTTTATAACACCATGCATAATAACAGGCCTGGAGCAAACTAAAGTCCTTCGATATTCCTGAGCGGCGCCAAAAGCTCTGCAGATTGCTCAAAGATGGAGTAAAGAGTGTGTTTGTGTTTCTAATCGGCAGAAACAACCAAAACCTGATTAAACACACACACGCTCAGCTCATGATAACATCAATGAACTCCTTCATATCACCATATGAACTTATCCAGCATATGCTTTACTCAGCGGATGCCATTCCAGCTGCAACCCATCTCTGGGAAACACCCATACGCGTCCAGACAATTTAGCATACAAAATTCACCTGCACCGCATGTGTTTGGACTGTGGGGGAAAAAGACAGAGCCCCCGGAGGAAACCCACGGCAACACAGGGAGAACATGCAAACTCCACACAGAAATGCCAACTGACTCAGCCGAGGCTCAAACCAGTGACCTTCCTGCTGTGAGGCGAGAGCGCTACCCACTGCGCCACTGTCCTGTTCAATTTTTCACTGTATTTCCTGTATTATATTTTGTCTTCTGGATAAAGTCTTATTTGTTTTTGTAGGGTGAGTGGGGACGCTGACAATGAGGGTTGGATCCAAATGCAGTTCTAATGACAAGATAGTCAGGCAGCCAAAGGTCAACAGGGTCAAACAGAAGTATATAGACCAGGGGTCACCAACCCTGTTCCTGGAGAGCTACCTTCCTGCACATTCAGTTGCAACCCTGACCAAACACACCTGTTTGTAATTATCAAGTGCTGCTTTAGGTGCTATTAATTGGTTCAGGTGTGTTTGATCAGGGTTGGGACTGAATTCTGCAGGAAGGTAGCTGTCCAGGAACAGGGTTGGTGACCCCTGATATAGACCATCCAGAGTCGTAGTCATTAAACAGGTGAATGGTCAGTACAGGCGGAAGCAATGTAAACAAATAAACAAGGCGAGGGTCAAAACACAGCAAAGGAAAGCAAAGGAAATGTCACAGTACAGTTAAACAAGACTCAGCCATGTGTGTGTGATGTGTGTGTCTGCTGTATTTAAAGTCCCTGTAATCAGTCCTTAATGCATACCTGCCAGCACTACCGTTTTTCCCAGGAGTCTCCTGTATTTCAGACCCATCTCCCTTTTTGTCATTTCCCCCGGAAAACTCCCGGTCTTCAGTTTTCGGTTCCTACAGCCTCTGAGAAGTCTCTGAGAGGTACTGGACACAGACACATCCTCCTCCCAAACCCCCCACCCCCCAACGTCTGCCAGATTTTTAGAGACAGATGTTGGCAGGTATGCCTTAATGATCGTCCGGCTGTGTGTGTGTGTGTGTGTGTGTGTGTAATCAAACTGAAACAGGAACAGCTGTGTGTGCGAGGTGCATGACGGAACTTGTAGTCTATATACCAACGGATTTGTGGTTCTTTAGCGAACTGTGTGCATCCGCTAGATCGCTGGTGATCATAATAGTTTTATTTTGGCTAGAAAAAGCAGTTTTTAATCGTATTAAAGCCATTTTAAGCTCAATATTATTCGCCCCTTCAGCAATATTAGTGTTGGATTGTCTCCAGAACAAACCACTGTTATACAATGTCTTGCCTAATTACCCTAACTTTACCCTAATTACCCTAGTGAAGCCTTTACATGCCACTTTAAGCTGAACACTGGTCAGATATCTAGTCTAATATTGTGCGCGTCATCCATGCACGATGCTTCAACAGACGCAAGGTTTGAGTCCAGCATGTTTACATTAAAAACAGTAGAAAAGTGGTGCGTTGGAGAGGTAAGACACATTCTGTGTGAACAGCCCCTTAGAATGTTCATCAGCCAATCAGAATCAAGCATTGGAGAGCCCCATAGCATAATGAATAATGATGAATGAGCTCTGTAATGAAGGTTGTATTCCCGGTGTGTGTGTGTGTGTGTGTGTGTGTGTGTGTGTGTGTGTGTGTGTGTGTGTGTGTGTGTTGATGAACTGCAGTTCTTGGCCGACTCTCGATGTGCCTGTTTTTATCTCAGCTCAGGCCTTCAGATCACATGCACGTCTGTTTAAGGTCACATTTTGTCGTCATGTTCATGCACATTTCTCCATGCGCAGTGGTTTATAAGCGCTTCAGTGTTTTTCCATCTGTTTTACGCACTGTAGATTGCGTCAAAGCTGATTTACAGTATATGGAAGAACAAACAGAAGATAAGAACAGTTGGTCACTTTACAATAAGGCTTCATTAGTTTATGTATTTACTAACGTGAACTAGTAATGAAGAACACTTGTACAGAGGCCGGTAACGATAAGGGATTTTTGTGGTGTGATATATTGACACAGAAATTGTTGCGATAAGCGATATTATTGTCATTTTAAGAACATTTTATGCCACTGATAGTATACTCGTAGCATAATAAAGCAAATAGCCATAAACACTTTACTTAGATTCTATAATTTGATGTTAAAAAGGTAAATGTCCTATTATATATACTAATAAATGTCCTGTTAGGTAAATGTCCAATTATAAACGTTGACACCGGTGAGGTAGAAATTAAATGTCATAGTAAAGTGGCTTTAACGTTATTTGTGAAATTGTAAATACAGGGTTCAACATTAAGGAATTTTTCTACAGGTCCGATCAGGCCAATGGTTCACATAAGCCGCGTTTCCACTATCGCGCCTAAAGCGAGCGAGCCAGGGCGAGCCAAGGCCAGTGGCGTTTCCACTGTTACTTCCGGGGTCTAATTGGGCCAAAGTGGGCCTTTTTCGGCCCGCCGAATACCTTGGGCCAAAGAGGGCCAGCCGGGGCTTCGGGGCGGAGTGAAAGGAGAGGCGGGCACAGTTTTCCGATCGCACACGAGTACATGCGCCAAACACATAAACAAACAAATAAATAAGAGAAAGAAAACATCTGGAACAAATTATAGGCTGGGGTCTTTTTTGCATATGATCGCACTTATGTTTCTCTTTTAAATGTAAGGCTGTTGCATAAAATGATAGTTTTTATAAGTGACTTTTCTTTGCTGCGTCTCTTTGATGTTTCAATAACGCATACTAATCTTTACACCATATTAAAGACACAGCAGACAGTAAAGGTTTTCAAGAGGTTTTGTCAAGTTTAATACGTGTTTTTGCGCGTTTAGATGCCTGTGTATGTGTGTGAGACCGAGGAAAAGAGCGCTCCCTTCTCAGCTCTGTTGATGCCGCTTGCGGCTTTTTTCTTTTATTTTTATTGTTTTAATTTATTTTGGACATATTACACTGTATGAATACAACAGAAAGACATTAAACTTTACAAATTTCATGTCCACTTTTGTAGGCTCCAAACAATAGTGTCATATCTAGATAAAATAGCCCTATATTGAAATAATTTAAAGAATTACAAATATCAGATAGGCCTATAATAAAATCACATTAAACAAATAAACCAATATTAAACTGACAAAAGCTATAGCTATAACAATTAGGTACTATATCAAACTGTTTCAAATTTATATTAAACTTTCATTTTTCAAAAGCCTCTTTGAAAAAAAGATTTTAGATATTTTCTAAATAAATAAAAAAACACCAGAGAATGTTTTAAATATTATTTATAAAGTATTTGGATACGATGATATTAATCAATTCATGCAAACAGAGCATTTTCGGGGTGAGTGAAAGCAGAAATAGACGACCTTTTTTTCTGTCTGCAGC